TTTATGAAACATTGAAAGTGTAAAGTGTAAAATGTTACTTATGTCTAACCTCATTTGATGGAAAGTGTAAAGTGTTACAGGATACACTAATGTTATTTTATTTGATAAAGTTTGAAAGTGTTGTATAATACTGAAAGTATAACACTTTCAAACTTTCTCAATAAAAGAACATTAGTGTAAGATGATAGATACATATTCTGTTTATGTAACACTTTAGGTAATATCTCACATTACACAATGGGGAAAATGTAAAGTGTTGCCTTGTGTAAGTGGAAAGTGTAACATTGTCAAAAAATATCTCACCTTACACTTAACATTGTATTACAGTCAACATTGTCAAGGAATAACCATTTTGCATTCCTGTACACTGTATTATTACACCACAACAACAATTTAAAAAAAAAAACAAATATATAGTTCCATGTGTAATGGTCTACTGTTCTTTATTTTGTTTGTAAACTAGTATGCTGTTACACTATATTGGTAAGTTTGGTACACTTTCATGTGTTACCCTTTACATGTTACAGTTTATATATTACATTATGTTGTTAACACAATCAACATTTAATATTAAAAATGTTTAATCACAGAGTATAAGATCAAAGAATCATGTCACTAAACAACTCAGGCAATTAACACTCACAGCACACAAATTTTTTAAAATAACAACTTTTTTTTCGAATTGTTCATTGTTAAACACTGTCTTGATAAATTTGTTACATTTTTATATGTTACCCTTTATATGTTACATTTTATATATTTACATTGTTATATTAACACATTCAACACTTAGGATTTACACACAGTGTAATCAGATATAATTACACACAAGAAATAATAAACAATTGTGTCACTCAACACTTCACAACACAATAAAGTTTTATAACAAAAAAAAAAAACAAGATTCAGTGTAACAAAATAAAAGTGTTTCAAATCAAGTGTAACAACAAAAATGTAACATTCATTTTATAATCCAACACAACACAACGTCTGTGTGCATATGCATTCAGTCAACCCAGTTCACATAGATATGCCAGCAATTGAAAAAAAAAAAAAAGGGGTTACAACATCCAACAATTCATGGTATAAACAACACATAATTTAAAGGCTTCTGACCAAAAAATAACAAAGATGAACATTATTCGTCTCTCAATATTCAAACAAACAAAATAGGGTTCCAATACATGAAATTAAAGCCAAAAAAAAAAATAAAAAGTGTAATGTAACCCATTATGATAACACACAATTACATAAACATGAAATATATATATATATATATATTGTACTAAATTTTTTGATTTGGTGACCCATTATCATAATACACAATATTTATATATACACACACACACACACATATAAATATACATACATAGATTACCTCTTCGACGATCAAAACAGTGAATGAACACAAAATACCCAACCACGATTGACCACAGTACAAACAACGAGCAAAGATCAAAGTAATAAGGGTTCAATGCCGAAAAAACCCACTTCAAATGACAATGCCAAAAAAACTCACTTCCAAGAAAACCCTCTTCAATCGATCTACCGTTTGTAACCTAAATCGGCTTGAGAAAGAAGATGAACAATGGAATCACCTTGAGGAAGAAGATGAACAATGGAATCGATGAACAATGGAGATTCAACACCTTTTCTATGAATCGGCTTGAGGAAGAAGATGAATCGGCTTTTTTGAATGGATATGCAGACCAACAGTTTGGTGGGAAGAGAAATAATGAGCAGCCGTTTTTTTCCTTGGAACAAAGAGATACATTACGGTTTTTGAGGAAGTTGAAAAGATTTTAAATTAATGGAGCCTAAATTTTAGCAATTATGATAAATGTAATGTTACATTTTTTAATGAAATAAAAATAATAAAAAAAAGGCATTTAAATCTTTTTTCAAAATATTTTTTAATGTGTACTTTTTGTCAAATAAGTCTAATTAGGTGTACCGGCTTGCAAAGAACCCTAAAACTAAAATATGGGCTTCAAGTCCCAAATTTTTAGAAGGCCCCATAATTTTAAGTACATTATTAGTCCATAAAAACATTAAGTAAAAATTGAAACTAAGTATTATATGTGAACTCTTTTATTAATAGATACAGGCGCGATCTCTCTTGGTTATTAAGAACACATGATATGTACTTTTTTGTAAAGGGTCCAATAGTCCCTTCAATTTTTTATTTTGTTTTCTATTTTGATCTTAAGTGGATCAAGCATATTTTTTTAAGACTATTCTCTCACCCTTTAATTTATCTCTCATCTCTCCTCTTTTAATTTCTCTCTTCTATCTCTACAACGTTCTTCTCCAATCTATCTTCTATATTAGTCTTTCTCTTCCTCTCTCTTCTCGTATCTCTCTCATACCTTATTTAAATTTTTATCTCTCTTGCTCTTATCTTTCATCAACTAATTTTCTCTTCTCTCACTTCCTTCTATTCTTTTTATTTTATCTATTTTCTCCACTATGTATTGTTGAAAGATTGTGTCGACCGTTACTTTCAAAAAATAATCCATAGTTATAAATCCGAAGAATTAGTGGTAGTGATGTTTTTTGCGTTGCTCACATTGACAATATTTGTTGAATTTATCAGTAATAACCATGAGAGTTCATTTTTCTCTCCAAATTAGGATATGTTTTTTTCTTTCTCTCTCTCTCTCTCTCTCTCTCTCTCTATATATATATATATATATATATATATATATATATATATAAGAGACATACATAATGTCATTGTAGTGTGTCATAATAACAGCCACATTGATACCGTGTATTACAAAAAATTTATCTTATGTTTTGTATGTGTTATTCTTCTGGGATAGGCAATAGAGTAAGACAATAACAATGAAGTATTTTCACTATCCCAAGATAGTAACAAACGCACTGATACTATCATGGACAATGACGGTGAATATTTTCACTATCCCAAGACAGTAACAATGAGCTTCATCACTGTTCTAGGACAGTAATAGTGTCAAGTTTTACGAAGTGATATATATATTAGATTTTCTTAGTTGGATACTGGGGTATATCTTAGTTTTGTAATTTATTTTCAATATCTATAAATTCAATTTCTTCTAGATTTTTTACATAATTATCTTTATTTAATACAAACTAAAAATTACAAACTTTGCAGTTTGTATCAAATAAACATGAATTAGTAATTTTCATTTTGTGTTATCAAATGATGTCAACTTTTGGGACAGGTAAAACTGAGAAGATAGATCTTGTCATACCCCTACTGTGGCTATAAGAGATAAAGGCAAAAATAAAGTTCATGAGGATGATAGGAAATCCAAAACTCCTATCGACTCTAATGACGACTTTATGGATTTACAGAGATACACTCTTGTTATAGATTATACTCCTGATAATAAAGATATGGAGATAAATTTTCAAAACAACACTAATGCTGAACTCTATGATTTAATTTACAGGTAACCGAATAAAGAGGCGGTGCTAAGTAGTGATGTAAGCAATCATGTCACCAATAGTAATTGTAACGTAAGCCATGACGTCACAAATAGTGAAGATGACGCATGTAATGACATCAATAAATAGTATAAAGTTGTTAATAGTAAATTTTTTTACTTTTTTTAAAATTCGGATTTCACGTCCAACCCCCTTTTGAAGCTTCTCTCTTCTCAAAACTATTTCTCCCTTTCTTTTCAAAAGGATTTCACACCTTTTCAGACTATTTCTCCCTTTCTTTTCAAAAACTCTCTCTTGTAAGTCTCCCATCATCTTTTGTATTCCTTCTCTCCACCTCCTCTATAAGTGAAGTTTGTAATTTTTAGTTTGTATTAAATAAAAGTTTTGCTTAAGTTTATGTATATATGAGAGAGAGATAGAGAGTTTTAATTATGAAAAATCTAAAATAAAGGAGACTTGATTTTATTTGAATTTTAAATTGTGTATTTTTATAATGCTTATTAAAAATTATATTTGTATTTAAATAAAGGTAAATATATCTTTTGAAATGAATTTGTCCTTAATGACCCAAAAGATAGGTGACTTGGTGACCATGCAGAAGGCCAAAAGGGACCAGCCTCCAAAAACCCCCTAAAATTTAAATCCATTAATTTTGCCCAAAAAAATTAAGTCCAATAAAAAATTTTATTGCAATAATTTTGACCCATGATCCAATCCATAACATTAGAAACCTAAAAAACAAAAGTAAAAAAAAATACTCAAAAATAAACTCATATTTACACCTATTCATTCTCTCTCTCTCCAATAAAAAACAAAAGGAAAAATTAAAACCTTTTTCTTGACAATAATATCGCACCATTCTTTTGTCTCTCTCACATAAAAAAATTTAAAAAAAATATTAAATAAAATAATACTAAAAATAAAATAAAAAACCGCATTTAGTGCTTTTGTTTTAGGCCTCAAATTGCCTTGAACCACTCCTACAACCGTGCATAGTTTCCATAATCACACTACTCATTATAATTCTTTATTTCTCAGAAAGTTAGCATTACTATTAGCAGTGTAAAAATAAAATAAAATAAAAAAAGTTGGTATAAATCTAATACACGACTCCAGACTCATTTTATCCATCAAATATATTTATCTCATTTACACCATATAAACCCACATTATGAAGAATAAAGTTTCATACATCGAACTCTCCCGACTGGTAATGTCGGCCTTGCACCTTCGAGGCGAAAATAAATCACCAGTAGTTCATCTCTGATGAGCCAAATAAAATATAAAGACGCAGGACTGTGAGTACAGTCATGCACTGCAATCTCAACCCTCAGGCCACCGGAAAATGCAATTGGCAGACGTATATGGAAGGTATTAACTAATCCTAAAAAATTTCAAGAGAACAAAACATGTTGTGTACATGAAATTAAGCTAAAACAAGAAATTGAATATGTAACTGGCAGGCAGTTATTCAGCAGAGAGACACCAAAACATGTTTTATATCTCTAGCATTGCACACATTAAGAAAAAAAGATGATAAAGAGGGAAATATATTTTTCATTATTATATGGGTTGATGAGATTTACCAAAAAATCCTTAAAGTTGCAACCAAGCGACAAGATGGCATCTGTTAGACACCTTTGCATAACAAGAACACAAACAAAAAAGAAAGAACAAGGCCCTCGATGAACACTGACTTGTGCGTGTGAATCGGATAAGGGTTGATGAGAATAAAGCATTTCAAATACCGGCAATTTTTTTGAATTTGACAATGCAATCGAGTGCACGCTCAAAATCACCGTCTTCCAAGGCAATTGTGAAGCGGCAGTAACTAGGAATTCCGGTCCACGAAGCACTGTTGATGCATAAGCCAGTGGCCTTGAGCATAGCTTCCCTGATGTTGGAGTCATCAATCTTGGCTTCCCAAGCAGTGGCATTTTCATTGATCTTGATGGTCTTGCCGAGATAGGCAGATGGCTTTGCTACCATGGAAACACCAACACGAGCACTGAGCACCTCCCATCCACAATTTTTAAGGGTCTGTTGCACATACAAGCAAGAAATCGAATAAGAATAATGTTGTAAAAAGAAGCTCGATGAGAGCAGCAACACAGAAGCCACTTCAAGAAAAATGCAGATCTATTCAGTGTAGGGTGGAGAGAACTTCATTTTGCAGTGTTTAAATGCCATGATCAATGCAGCTGAATTGAGTAACATGAATTACAAAAACAAACACGGATTACACACTCAACCACAGAAGTTAACAAGTATCTAACTAGATCTCCAATTAAGCAGTTAACAGTTTTTTTTAATCTCAAATTCTGCTGTTGGTTAACATACAAAATTTTTACAGTGGAACTAATCAATCCACATGGACAAACAACAAAGCCCTAATAGATTTTGGACAAAAGTCCATTTTCCAAAAGCCAAAAGAAGCATAAAAATAACCAGCCTACAGATTACTAATGCAAAAATGCTAATGCAGTATGAGTGTTTTAATTTGAAGAAGAGACCAATTCAAAAGCAATTTGGCTGCATACAAAACACTATCAACGTCACGTAAATAAAAAAAAACGTAATGATGAATCGAAAAACCATTTGTAAACATAATGTTTACCTCCCTCAAGCGTTGAGATCTATTTGCCAAAAGTTTTTCGTGTTCTGCAACAGAATTCAATAGGTCTCCCGCTTTCTGGGCTCTGAGATCCAGTAACTTCTTTACAGTGTATTTGACAGTGCTGTGAGGTTTACTTAATCCTGAAAAGCTATCGATTGTATCAGCCAAAGAAGGCTGGTTTAAAACCAGAAATCCAAATGTAAGCCCTCCGGTAAGCATCCTCAAAAATAATCCTCCAAGCAGTGACACACAGAAAGATGAGTTGGCAGAAGAGGTCACTTTTGCTAAAGTGCCCTCCAAACTCCAGCCATCCTGGCCCTTAGAGTCGATTTCCACCCCTGAGAATGAAGTATCAATTATAACCCTTGCCCCGAATCTAGCACAAATTGATAATATACTTTCCATCTCTTCATTGCTGTAAAGCAAGCCAGTCACGCTGATTGTTGGACCAGAAATGTAGACCCATGGTTTATTCACAGTCTCAAGTACATCAGTTAATGTCTTTTCTGTCAATTTAAAACCTGTTTGTCGTTGGCTAGGTATGTTCACTGTGTTTGCTTTCAGAAACCGGGCAGCAGACACATAATTCCCATTAGAGCCACCTGGGAAGCACAAAGTTCCACCTTCAGCGATGCAGCAGAGGACCAGCTTATTAAATAGAGCCAATGGGTAGTCTGCATATATGAATTCTGTGTTGCTGTCTGTAAGGAAACCATAATTGCTCTTAATAAATTGTCTAATGCCTGTTGTTACATCAATTTCCGACTCAGTGACGTTCTGTCTTGCAAAACTTTCAAAGATGGCAGCCTTGACTGGAGTTGGTATGGGCAAAAAAATCTGATCCACATCCATGTGAATCAGGGAAGAGTTGTCTGTCTCACTAATTAATAGCTCAGCATGATTAAGAACTGATAGGGCCGATTTGGAAAATCCAATCATCTCACTAGTTTTCACTTTCTCACCTTTTCTCTGAAAAAGAAAGAAGAGTCAAATATATAATCCAAAAAAATACTAAATTAATGCATTCACTTGACATTATACACTAAAATCCCCGTCAGAAAGAAATTGGAAAGTAACGCCATTGCCAATTTAAGGTGCCCATTCAACATTGATAAATGGAATTTGTTGCAGCCATAAACCATGAGTGTTTTCCAAAAAGTAACCAGTATTGAAAACCCAAAGGATTGTAGCAAAATCAGGTACCCTTTTAGGCATTTGCACATCTAATTATATTATAGAATTATTATTTTTTATTTTGTTAAATAGATTGATTAGATCGCTTATAATATTATTATATTATTGCATACCAAACAATAAAATAACATATATTTGACATTGGACTTTACTTCTTCGTTCAAATATAGATAATTGTATGTAAATGTACTAATAATGAATGAGTTCAAAAGAATTTAGAAAAATTGAAAGTCAAATAGGTGTAAAAAAAAAATTAAATAAAAGTATATTGATGGGTATAATTGATTTTATTATAATAATTAGGGATACAATTGAAAATCAAAAGTTTTTAGCAGATACTGATATTTATAAATAGATATAGATAGGATCACCAGAGTTCAGGTACTATCTGAACTTTTTAAGGAAAATAAAAGCTCGTGAGAACTCTTGAATGGAAATCAAAAATAGATACAAACACCCAGTAATTTGTTTTTTCATAAGAAATGAAAATTTAATTGTAACAACCTGTAAATAAAAGAAAACATTCTCCATCTTCTTTTTCAGAAATTGTTGAAAGTGAAGTTGTAAAATATTTAAAGAGTTCGGTCTGAAGGAAATTATGTAGAAGCAGCCACTTTGTTCAACTAATGTCAGAAGTTAAGCATGTCTATGTCTACCCTTCCCAGCACCTCCCACAATGCACGACCTTCTTGAAACATTAGAAGACAATATTAGCAATAACTATCTCAAAATTACAGCAAGACTTATTAACCTCTGTGGGTGGATGTCGATCAGCAAGCTGAAAGGCTAGAAGCTCATGGAAAAGACAACCATAATAGTATTGACTAATCAGCGCAGTATTCCCTTGTAACAGTTCCACAGTCTTGGACAATGCTTTAAAGATTGCATCCTCTTCAGATATGACAAAAGCTACTTCAAGGTCTGAATAAACCTAGAAAGAGATTTTAGCTATAACTGTCAGAAAGAACATACTCCCAAGAAGCTAATAGATTAAACTGATAAAGACATAAAACCAATTAAAAAACCAACTCAATGGCCTCAATATAAGTACATATCAAACCATCACTTGATACAACTGAGCTTCCATTGGTTGATCTTTTGAAAACAAAATCGTACCTGATTTTTTAATAAGCCACAAATAATCGCTGCATGCGAGGGCAGAGGAGTTCCAGCAAGATACTTCAGGACCCCAATAGAACCAGGGAGGCTAGATAACTCAAATTGGTCTGATATGTCTAAGAATAGACGAGATCCAATTTCTTTTGTTGTATCTAAAAGATGCTGAAAAGCAGAATTAGTAACAGCCTCAAATTGAGCCATCCCAGTGATCACCACCTGTGGCTTAAGCTTCTTTATCAATTCTACCATCAAATCAGACTGGCGTGGGGCTTCAATGACTGTGATTACATCATCTGAAGGTTCATCAGTTCCCATATTCTGCAGTGTGAAAACCAAATAGCCAACATTTTAACCAAAGAAACAGCACTGGAGATGTCAATGACTTAATAAACTTGAAATTATTCCGTAACACACCCCCACCCCAACTGGGGTGGAGGTGGGGGCATATGATGACCCAAAACCATCATGTGATCATCCATGATGCTAAAAACAAAATATTGATGATTAAAAAGAAATTGACACTGATCTTCTCCATAATATTATTTAGTCCAATTTGAACACAACGAAAATACACAATGTACTCCTGTAACATGTGTGAAACAATAATAATTGCTTTACACCGACAAGACATTCCCAACTCAACTGGCATGAATATGTTACCTATGATACCAATTGTAATCAAATAAAATAAAAGTCAAGAAAGGTAAAATTGCTCCATTAAGCCAGACAAAATTAGTCAGGCTACGACCTCTCAACTTTACACTGTAAAGCCTTGTCCCAAGACCCAACTATTTTGGAGTTGACTATATGAATCATAGGCAGCCATTGTACTTGGTGAAGGCCCTGTTTCTACCAAATTATAAACTATCATGTCATTCTTTACTATCTCAATCATCATCAATTTTGATCTAACTCAACTTGTAAAGTTATGGTCAACAGATATCACATCATATCTATATTACTGGTGCAATTATATGTCTTCCATAACATGTCCAAAACATTCCATTTGGATCTTTCTAAATTTATCTCTTCTTGGTGCTAGTTCTGCCATTTCATGAATGAATTTATTCCTAAAGGGTACATGTTGCTTTATAACACCTTCATCTTAACATCACGTATTTCAACTACAGTAAGTCTTTGAACACATTTCTTAGTTGTTCAACACTCTATGACTTCAGACATGACTTTTCCTATGATTGGTTTTTAGAAGTTCTACTTCATCTTAAAGGGTACATGTTGGGCACATGACACACTAGATGCACTCCTCTGCCTTTTTCCTTCATTTTCACAATCTTCTCCAAGACTCCTTAATCCTTGCTCGTAATATACTTAATACAAAAAAAAAAATGTGTTTCTTTCCTTAACAAAAAAATTCTATGTGCACCTTTCTCTCCATCCCTTGAATTTTATCTTAAAAGGAAGATTAAATTGTGTTTTATACATAACTTCCCATTTTAAATTTTTATTAGCAAAGTTCATACTTTTCAGAACTTTCTTCATTTTCAATTATGGTCATGTTTTGTAGCATGTTCTTTTCATTTTGACTACACTTTGAACCTCATCATTACATCACCAAATTTTTTTGCTAATGGTCAATTACATTTTGATTTTCTAATAATCTCATAGATATTCTTTTAACATATTCTACCATATTAGCACACATTACATCAATTCTATTTTGAACTCTAGGTTGTTTTTTTAGATTTTATTCGTCAAGTATTCCATTGTCCCTTTTAAGATTCCACGGCCTAGTTCTTGGATTTTTTCTAGTTTGGAATTTTTGACACATGCTAAAACCATTATCTTATCTTATGTGGTCAAGCTCTTTTCAGGAATAACCCTTTAGTCCTTACATGACAGAAGATCCAGTGTTCTAGTTGTTGAAAAAATCGGTTTGACTCTTATTTGTTCAACATTCAAAGGTTAATAAATACTCATCTCTCTTTATAATGTGACTCCAAAGCACCATTTGTAATCTCAAAACCTATGATCACCATGCACAATCTCATATACTCCCCAATTTTTTCCTATACAACCATTAAAGTGTTTTCCTATTATTCTCTCATACGGATATTACTCGCCTTAGCTCATCCATATGTCCGTAAAGATCAGGCGTTAAAATTCATCTAATCCTAGTTCACTCATAGGTTACTAAAATCAGCTTATTAATGTGCTCATCTAATCTGTCTTGGGCTGCATAACGCTGATAATATGAACTATATTTCGTCCTAATACAATTTTAACTAATATTCTATCTCATTTTCTAATAAAAGATACTAATTTCTATTTAATAAAAGTTACTCCTTGCCATTGTGCTTGCTTTGTAATTGTTTGGATTATTTAGTTGGGAAAAAATTCGGGAATCTTTGAAGATAAAGAGGAAGCAATGGAAGGGTTGTGAGATCGAATTTATTTCCTATCTTCTTGTTGGACTTCGATGACGAGGAAACTTGAGAATATCTCTACTTTTAGTATTACATCGTATTGGATGACATCTTGTGGAAGATAGTTTGAGTTTTTGGTGGTTTCTTCTATTGTTTTTCTGATTTTGATGTAATATGGTTGGACTACTCATCCACCTTTGCGCAGATAATGTAAACGAAAATTTGTTTCTTATCAAAAAAGGCGTTGAATGTTTTTTCCAACTCCATTTCTGTGTTTATCCTTCTCGTATAATAAAAAATACAAACAGTAAATTATTCACAACTATCTGGGTTTCATTAAGGTTGTAATTGCTAAACTTCTTAGAAAAATGTTTCCCGGGCTATAATCACAATCCTTTAAGATACTAGGCCTACGAGCCTAATTAGTTAGTACCAGTACATTCTTATAATGCTCTAGATCATGGAAAAGCATCAAGCAGCATGACACAAGTGTTAATACTGATGGTCCTGATGGATAGTAGGTGACCAACTGATGGATATTTGATATGGAAAATGAATTCGGTAGTATGTCTCTGCATGTTCCTTCGTCAGCCCATGAACCTTGGCATTGATCACTTCCAACTAAAATATCATTTCACAGGCTAAAAGGACCGTTGATTAAGGCTTTGAGCAATACCTGCATTTTTAAGTTCTTGAAAGAATAGTGTCTGTACTGAAGATTAGGATATATGAACCATATTGCTTAGATTGATAAGGCTAGGCATAGCGGCATATAATTTATTTAAGAAGAACCATTCACAACTAAGTTTCGAGGTGCTTGTGCTCCACGAGTATTGTTCAATGTCATGGATAAAAATATCCAGGTCTGCCAGCCTGTCAACTGCTATCTGTTTACAATACAAGCCTGTCAATGTTAATACACACAAGTCCTTTATCCCACTTCAGATTGTTCTCTACTTCAACTATCATTGTAATGTCAAGGATAAACAAAGTCATCTGGCGTCAAGAGCATATAGATCAACATTAACAAAAGCTACTCTGCCTGAGAATATGCCGCTGGGCAAAGCTGATGTGCATTTTAGTTTGATTGACTGATGTTAGCACTTATAGACTGCAATACAGCACAAGGTTTTGGGGACAAAATTGCATTCAGTAAACATGGTTATATATATGGTCTAATGACGAGAGGGTAAACTTATGTAGTAAAAAGGACCACAACGTCCAATGAACAATACTGGAAATATTAGCACAGAAAGAAAGAATAAAGATTTCAAGAATAGCTAGAGATGACAATTAGATAATGCCAGAGAGAAAGAGATTTAACTTCGATGATCCAACTGCTTTTTTTTTACTTCTACACGTGTGTGTGTGCGCCAGACAAAGAGTGTCTGGTGATGGGAAAACTTGGATGCCCAAAAAGCAATAGAAGATAAAAAGTAAACAAAATGTATATGCAAATACTTCACAATATTCCATACCTCAACTTTCAGAGATGTTAACCATTGCCTGGGTAGGTGTCGGCTCAGGTGTTCATCAACAATGGCAAGACGAGGAGAGAACAATCGAAGAGCATTCTCAATTGCCACAGACCTTGAGGGAAATACGACAACATTCTTGGAGAAAAATTGAGAAAAAACAAGTCAGAAATGCAGCTTATTTTACATGCTGAGAGAGAGGTGAAAACAAATACTGATCCTTGTCCCTATTAGATTGCAAACCATAATATCGTAGAAGTATATCCACAAAACTAATGTAATGTAGAACATAGAGCACAACAAAGTAATTAGTATTTTCCATACAGGGCTGGACTGAAATAATGTTGCATAGAGACCTCCTAGGTAATGTAGAGATGGTATAATAGTTTCCATTTAAATCAAAAGATGATGAAGAGAACCAGTAAAGCATAACCATCACCCACTACCCACCACCCAACCCCCCAAAAAAATACCATGTTCTTATAATAAGCTGCCTGATGTAGTATAAATCTCTAGGAATAAGGCTACAAATTTATGTTATGTGATTGTCCAACTATAGTGCATGCCAATGTTTACCTTCATCTGATGATTTTTTTTCCATCCTTTAGACAACACAAATGATTTCTTCTAGATTTACCCTGCTCCAACTTACTCAACAACTTATATAATTTATTTGCAGATTTAAGGCCATGAGATATGTATGCTTTATTTGTTGTTTTTCATCTATTATTTTTGAGCATGGAGAAATAGAATTGCTTTTATGACTGTCTTCATTTCTTTTTCCTTTTTTTAAATTTTATTTCTACTGGAGCTTCATTCCGAAGTTTTAACACGAAAAGGAGTGCATATTTTGAATCTCTCTCTAGTAATTAATAATTTAATACTAATAATGTGACTCTCTTCAAGTAAGAAATAAGAAGTCCACGCTCATTTAGCGCACCTTACCTAACTCACTCGCTTAGTACTCACACCTATCTCTAAAAGGGCTTATGCACACCACTCAGTGTCTACCAAACGCGCATTAAAGCAAGCAAGCAAAGCCTTCCATTTAATGGCTTTCCCCATTTTCCCTCACCCTACTCTTTCAGTTCCACTTAAGCTTCCCCGATTTGGGGAATTACTTGATTGGATACTAGGGAGCCATAATCTTGCCTAAGTGTTAAGATTAGAGAGGAGCTTAACACAATATGAGATAGACAAAGAGATGTTTTGGCTTAACCTACCTCTCACTATTGGTCTTGTATTTATAGTCACTGAAATAAGAAAAAAAATGAGTATACCCTTTGTGTGGTATACATATTACAATAAACGTAAACCCTAATTACATTATAGTAACTATAGTAACTTAACACTCCCCGTCAAACTGGACTATAGATATCATATAATCTAAACTTGGAACAAATATCTACAAGACGAATACGACTCAATACTTTGGTGAACATGTCTGCAAGTTGATCATCA